GGCAGCAGCCTGTCGTGGGGGGCGCCTGCACGGTGCTGGTCTCTGGTCTCTGGTCTCGGAGCGGCGGTGCTGGTCTCTGGGCGCTCTGGTGCAAGGCCTGGCAGTTTGACAGGCGCGCCCCGGCAGCGGCCGGCCCCAGCCCCGGCCCCGGCCCCGGCCCCGGCCCCGGGGGGTCCGCCCAGGGCGCAACCGGGGCCGCCACGGCAGCGGGAGCGCCCCGCAGGGTCCCAGCGTGCACGGGAGGGGCCGGGCTGGCCGCGGGGGGGCGGCGGCGGCGGCGCGCTCCGCAGCCAGGCCCAGAGGCAGCTGCGGCAGGCTGGAGCGCTATTCTGGAACAAAGGCAAGCACGACGCGGGAGGGGACAGGAGCGCGGGGGACAGCGCGGCGACTGGAAGGTGAGGGAGCGGGGAGGCGCGGCGGGAGGACGCCTGTGGCGGTCCGGGCGGCGACTGCCCGCTGCCCACGGGCCGCCGAGAGGCGACCGGCCACCGGCCGCAGGCGACGGGCGCAGCGGGCCCTCCGCGGGGCCCGCCCCCAGGCCCGGGGGTCTCCCCGCCCCCGCCTAGAAGTCCTCGTCCTCCACCCAGCCAAAGACCCGCTTCATCTCGGCCAGGAAGCCCCGGTAATCATTGAGCAGGGGGCTCTTCTTCCGGATGTAGGGGATCACCCACTGCAGGGCCCGCCCGGTGAGGCGGGTGATGAGGAACGTCACCTTCAGGGCATCGCTGGAGAACAGGGTCTCGTCCACCAACATGTAGGCGCCCGTCTGCACGATGAACTCCGGCAGCCGGTCGGTGTCGCCGTCAAACGTCTCGGGAAAGGGAATCGGGTTCCTCCACCGACGCGTCTGCGGCCGGATGGGCAGGGCCAGCAGGGCCTTGATCAGCTGCACTCGGCCGTCCATCGCGCCGCGGGGCTCAGCTGGGCTCGGCGGGTCTGGGCCGAGGTGGGCGGGGAGGCGTGGCGGGAAGTGCGTGTGTGCCGTGGGCGGGCCCGGGCCAGGGGAGGGCGGGGCCGTGGGCGGCACCCGGCGCCTGCGCGGGCCCCGCCCACAGGGCCGGGTGGTCGCCTCGCCGGGTCGTGCGCAGGCGCAGCTGGGGAGGCTGCGCTAAGGCGCTGGGCAGAAAGGGGCGGGCCGAGCCTGCTCCAGGAGGCTCCGCCCAGGGCGAGGGGTGGGGCCTGTGAGGAGCCCAGGACCCCTGGTCTGGCGCGCTGAGGTTCTAGCCCGCGGGGCTTGGAAGCCCGACGCTGGGCTCCCTCTTTTGCCGATTGAGCTGTCCTCCTGCCGCCGCCTTCCGCACGTCTGTCACAGGCCCTACCGTACATAGCCTTTGCTGACCCTCGCCTCTGGACGCCACTGGAGGGAGGGTCTGTGAACTCTTTTCCCTGCTTATTCATGAATCTGTCCGTCAGAGAAACATACACCGCTGTTTGCAGGTGTGGTTTCCTTGTGCCATGATTTGAAAGCCCCAAATAGTCGCCAAAATAACCCAGAACAGAATGTACAAAGAATATCGCAGCATAACCAGTTAGTGGAAAGAGGGTTAAACGTAAGAAATCTCTTACTTTTTTTGTTTTCTAAAACTGGTGGCAATTCTCTACTATATTGCCCTCACCATAGGCAGTTGACAGCAGCACAGCTTGCATCCTCAGACCAGCAGAGGAGGGGGAATGTGTGCTCGCACGATGTAGTTGTGTGTAGTGTAACCTCGTCATACTATTGACATTTCATCACCTTTTCGTTTCTTTTGACTGGAAGCCAGCCACAGTCCCTACCCACACTCAAAAGCATACGCAGGAAGTAGGGTACGCGGGGACCACTTTCAAGTCTGTCTGCCACTGTGTGAATGTGTGTACCACTGTCTGGTCATCCATTCACCTTTCGAGGACTTTTGGCATTTTAAAGTTTCCGGCAGTTACAAATAAATCAGCAGTAAACTTTAATTACAGATTTTTTTTGTGAGCATGTTTTCACTTCTCTAGGGTAAACACCTAGAGAGAGGATTTCGGTGTTACGTGCTTATGAAAAAAAAAAAAAAAACTGTCATCTCACTTGGAATAGAAGCGACCTCCTCGATTTCATGAAAGGCATCCACAAATACCATAGCTAGCCTCAAGAAGAAGAAGAAAGAGAAGGAGAAGGAGAAGGAGAAGGAGAAGGAGAAGGAGAAGGAGAAGGAGAAGAAGAAGAAGAAGAAGAAGAAGATGCCAGAATGCTTTACACCCTTGGATCAGGGACAAGACAAGCCTGCCCACTCTCACCACTTCAATTCAATATTGAACTGGAGACTCCAGCCAGTGCAATAAGGCAGATTTAAAAACAAACAACAATAGATGACTGGATCAAGAAGATGTGGTACATATATACCATGGAATATTACTCAGCATTCAAAAAAGATAAACACATGCCATTTGCAGCAACATGGATGGCGCTGGAAGGGATCATGCTCAGCGAAATAAGCCAAAAAGAAAAAGAAAAATACCGGATGGTCTCACTCATAGCAGGAATCTAGAAAACTTAAATAAGGGACCAGGAAAATGAATAACTCTAAGAAAGTGAAAATGAAAATCAACAAAAAACTATGAACCAGAGACACTTTTTGGGGGGTGGGGGCGGGAGGGGAGGGATTGGGGTCAGAATGGGGGGGGGTTGCAATTGTATCGGGAATATAAAAATAAAATTTATTATTTAAAAAAATAAAAAATAAAAAATAAAAACAAGCAAACAAACAAACAAACGGAAGAAGGAAGATGGAAGGAAGAAATAAAAGACGGGATCCCTAGCGGCAGGAAGAAGGCCGAGTAGTCGCCAGTGCGCAGATGCTATACTGGAAGAGGGGGACACAGAAGGGGTGACCAGCTAGGGGCGGGTCCTCCAGGGAAAGGGGCTGGGCCAAAGTCGGCTGGAGGAGGCGGGGTCGGAACCTGGGGGGCGGGGCCGAGTTTTCCAAGGCTGGCCGAGGAAGAGGACAGGGCTTCAGGGGAGGAGGACGGGCATCAGGGGGGAGCCCAGGTTACCTGGCACTCTGTTGTGAGGGCTGATCCTGCTGGGCTTGGACAGGAGATGGTCCAAGTGCTCTAGGGCTAAGGAGTTTGCCTGGTGCACACTCTCCCTGCCTGCAGCTCACTGCTGCTCTTGGTTCCTTAGTGTCCCCTTGACTTCCCGTTACCCCTTGTGTGAGGTTCTGTGAACATGTTTTCCTGTTGATTTATGCACGCCTCAGGCAGGGATTACTGGCACCTAGGCCCAAAGTGTAGTGGTCTGCAACATGAATGGAAAAGCCCTAAAAAATAGTCAACACATCCAGAGCAGTAGAGTCAGAGAATGATGCACCATGACCAGGTAACGTAAGGATGATTAAAGGCTAAGAAATGTCGTAATTTGTTATAGTCAGCGACCAAAAGAGAATAATCAATATTAGTAACTGAAAGACAGAAAGAAGTAAGAGAGGTTGGATGCTCTCCAAATATTCTATAAAAGTATGCATGTTAGGATAGACCAAAGGAATAACTAAATAAGAGCCTCAAAAGTGTAGGGGAAATTAACGATTGCACATTACGGCCATTCAATTGTGTGGCTGAACACAAAAAAATTAATATAAACTAATCACCAGCTTTTACATGTAGGAAAAATAACCAGCTAAAATATAAAATGGTGGTAAGGATCCTATTCAGAAAAGCAATTCAAAGGAAATGATGCCTAAGATCATGTTTTTTAAACTTAAGAACCACACGAAGAAAGGTTTGGGATGCCTAAGAGGGACACAAAGGAATACTCAAACACGAATTGATATCCCAGTCCGAGAGAGGGTGACTCCCAATCATAAAGATGTTAAATTTTCCTAAATTAAAACATATTTTCAACATACGGCCAATGATGGGGCCAATTCATAAGTCAAAATTGTGTTTACTTCACTTATGTCCACTCTTGCCCCGAACATAATCTTTTCAAGAAAAGATTTTTATATATTTATGCATACAAGAAAGGGGGTGTAGGCCAGAGTTGGGGGGGAGTGTGTGTGGGAGGATTCACCAGACAGCTTGGGGCGCAGAACAGGCGGATCTACTGGAATACACTGCTGAGGGGAGCAGCCGGGGAGACAGGAGAGGTCTGCTGCGCCATGTCGGTTAGAAGAAGACGACCGACCACATACGTTTGTTGCAGGAACTAAGTAAATTCCTATACGGGGGAGTTAAGCAAACGCATTAAATGAAGTCACTACTTAGGATGATATCTGAGTGTTCCCTGGCCGGGGATGGAACTCATGTTACAGCGGCTGGCGATAGCTTGATAGCGCTGTGTCTTTAACCCCTGCAGTTGGCAACAGAAGAAATCTTTCCTCTGCAGAGGGGTGTGGGCGGGACCATGCAATCACGAAGGGGTCAGACAAGAGTATGTTTACACTGAATCTTGAAAGCGAAAAGGGGGTTTCCAAGGTCGAGGGAGGAAAAGGTAGGGTGTGATGGCTGGGAATTGTTTGAATTCGTGGTGGCAATTAATCCTGGGTGGTTGCTATGAGTGACCTTTGGTGTTCATTTCCCCGGACCAGCCCCCATTCGCTACAAGCTCAGCTAGCTTGCCAAAATTCCAAGCATACTTTGGGGCTTTATTCTGTGTCCAGCCCAATGCTGTCTGACCCCAGAGCCCATGGCATTGCCAGGCATGCCAGTTACGATGTCTCCCCAGGTACCCACCTAGTAGCAAAAGCTCACATGTAATTGTTGGGTTGGGAGAAGGCCGGCATGAAAGGGTTACCAGAGGAGGGCATAATCGAGCTAGGCCTGGAAAAACGGTGCGAGCCCCATTCCTAACATCAGACGTGACAGGAAGTAGAGGATATGGTATGTGCCAAGGTATGAGTAGTGGAAACGCACATTGGGAGTGGGTGTAACAGGTACAAAAGCCATACCCCCGTGGGCAAGGAAGAATTCAGCGGGACCTTTAAGACATCTGCAGAGGTGGCCACTGCAGAACTGGTGCGAGTGGACCGCGTACCTGTCCATCACTGAGGACAACCAATAGCGACGTTGGAAGGCGGGGCCAAAATAACCGTTGGCGAAGACCCCCTAGCTCGTGCTGGGCCCGCCAGCCTTAACACTGTGGGTGACACAATGGATTTACCTGGCGGCTTCGCGGACGGTTCCTCCCGGTGACGAGGGCAGATGGCGTCGCCCTTTCCTACGATCTCAACAGATGTGAGTGTCGTTGGCTTTCTGTGGCCCTGGGCTCTTGGGAGTGTGCTCGGGAGTCTGGGCGGGTGGTGGCTCTGAACAAACTTTGACGGCTCTGCCCGTGGCCTCGCGCCCGGCTCCCAGAGAAGGGCCTTTGCCCTGTTGGGGCACGACGTACCCACGCGATGGCCCTTCGGACCAGTTTGTCGGTGGCAACGTGGGTCTCGAACCCCCTCGGTGGCCCTGTTAACGTTTGGGGGATGTTTTGGTGGTGACGACGACGACGACGAGGAGAGGGCGGCGGGATGGCAGGGGTTGGGGCCCTAGGTTTACCATCTCGTTGCCTGTTCCCCATCTTTGATTTTCCTGCACTCTGGTCTCTCCCGTTCCCCGTGGAGAAATGTTCTTGAAGAGAAAACGGGGTGATGTCGATGGGATTTGAAGGGCAGCGCCGGCTGCTGGCCGAGGCCTGGCCTCTTCCGGCAGTCGGGGCTCCGCAGGGGGTGGGCCTTGAGCCCGCGGCTCACCTGTTCTGGCTCTGGTGTTCGGCGGTTGTGTTTGGTAGCGTTTTGTCCCGGTCGGTGTGGGTCGGCCCTTTTCCTAAGCTTTGCCTTGAACGTTTTCCAGTTACCTTTAATTCGCAAAGGAGGAAAAGTTGGTCTGCCCGCCTGTGGGGCGCTTGCTTTCCGGCCGTGGCCGGTGCCCAGGGTCCGCTCGTCTAACCTTTCGTTTTCTTTACCATTAAACATGTAAGACAGCATCGTTCCGTGTGTCTTATTCCATAGATGAGATCAAGGTGAATAAAGTTGTGTTTAAAACGTAAAAATTACACAGCTCGACCCTGTCGGGGGCGGAGGGGGTTCGGCGGTTTCACCCCAGTCGAGTCCCCGGAAGCGCCGCTGGCGGCCTGCGCCGGCAGTGGCTCCCGTTCTTGGGGCGTTCCGTTTCTCCAATAAGTGCATGAGGCATAGCACGTTATTTGACTTAGTTCTGCCTTTAGTGGTTTCGTGCATTTCCTTGGACAATCGCGGGGCTTTTTCGATGTGCGTATTAGGAAGTTCACCCCCAGAGAGACCTCTAGGAGTGAGCGGTCCTTGCAGGTCAACAAGCACACTTTTGAATTTTATTTCGGAACCAAAAGGGGCATCTCGTGTACTGCTATTTCTGTTAAATGTTGGCCTAGGGCCTCTGTCCAGCTCTTCTGCCATAGGAAAAAAAAAGTACGCCTGCCCAGTCTGGCCCAGGACCACGCCCACGCTCCTGGCTTGAGCCCCTGGTCCAGACTGGACATGCTGCTCCTTCCGCCCCCATGGCAGAGGGTGCTGACCTGCCTCCTTGGTCACGAGCCACAACTGTGCCTTAAACCCCAGGTGCTAGCTCAGTGACTTAAGGAATCGGCTGTGCCAGCCCCTTTATGCTCCTGCCTCCTTCCGGTGTGGCACCCGAGGTGTTTTCCAAAGGGGCAATTCAAACACAGGCAAACTCTTTGTGTACTCCAACCCTGAGGACCTTCCTCCCCGGGAGTGAACTGATACTTGGTGTCCAATTAAACAGTTACTTCCTCGGGGTGAGGAGGATGGTTGAGTTTGCTTACTATTAGCATTTTAGCTGCTTGATTCTTGACATTGACTGGAATCTTGTGTATTACTCCATGTTGAAAAGGCCCTGGCATTGTCATGACATGGGTATCCCCCAATCCACCTCCATTACATTTTAGACGTGTGAAGGAATTCATTGCTGGTATTTCAGTTTTCCTTGATCTGTGTCCCTGGTCCTGCCAGGAAAGCAGTTTTCAGGAATTGGGATCCCAACTAGCCGGGCTCTAGAGCTTGAACAATGTCTAAGTGTGCAATGAAGGCACTTTGATTAACTGCCCATTGCCCATAGTGTCTGAGGGGCACACTTGCAAATGTGTGGAGCAAATGCCCCCAGATGTCTGATGTATTCACAACTGCTCCACATTTTCATTGTTTTCTCCACGTTTTCACTGAACACCATGTTCAGTTTCACATGTTAATATACTTATTTATACATGGAATTCTCCATGAGGCTGTTCTATGTGGTTGTTTTTTTTTTTTTTCCCGTTCATTCCTATGTAAGAAATGTCCCAACTTACTATGTTATCGATTGCTGACACCAACACACCAAGTTTGCATTCAGGCGGTGTTTATTTCACAGTCTGTTACTGTGAGCATTTGGTAACAAAGACTTGAAACCCACCGGAAATGTTTTACCCACCCACTTGCATGGCAAATGAGTGTCAGTAATGGATGACAAAGTGAGGAGAACACAACAGGCATTCTAGCGGTTGGTTGCCTATAGTTTTGCATAAGCGGTTTCCTTGTGCCTACAGGGGAGAGAAGTAGACTTTTCTCTGCCATTCCCTGTCTCCAGTTTAGTGGCATTGCCTCTCACTGTAAATCAGCATCATTCCCCTGGGATGCTTGGTAAAAACAGGAGGAGCTGTGGTTCATTTTCAAGGGGCAGCCAGGCCTGTGACCAGCACTTCTGTCTTACCTTATCTTCGATAACATCTGGCCTACTCTGCTTGGTATAGACTACATGAGTGGAAACTCAGACTGACCAAGTGTTTTCCTCTCCTTGAAGCTCCCCGGCTTAAGGTAAAGTGGATGTTTGTCCCAAACACCCACCTCTGTGAGTTTCCAAGTTACCCAACTTTCTTGCAGTTATGCTAAGCTCCGTAGCCACAGGTAAGTCTCTTTCAGACTTGTGTAATCACTACTTCCTTCAGGGCCTGTGATGGAAAAGTCCAGTACTGACCAGCCTAGGGGCCTGTGATGAGAAGAGAGTGAAACCAGAACCAAGGGTGCAGAACCACCAGACAAGTAAGAGCGACCTTTTGTTATATACTGCCAAGGCGTTGGGTGGAGGCTAGCTCCCGTCTCCTCTCTCCTGGGTATCGTTTCAAATGGGGTTGAAGCCCCTTCCCTGTGTCTCTGAGATAGAAACTGTCTGGGCACTGTTCACCAACGCTGTGGTAGAAACCCTATGTCTACAATTTCTTTCACCGGGCAGTGACATGTTTGTTTCCCCAGTCCTATTTGTGTTCCTCTGTCCACTGTGGGTGCTCTTGTTACGGTCACATTGACTTTATTCGAATGTCAGCTTTCAAAATGGGCTCATCTCGAAATTCTACCGTCAAAGTTCTGATGGATTTTTTTATTCGGGCTGCAAATTCTGGCAGTAGCAGGCGGCATCGAGGTGGACTGGACTGGACTGGACTGGACTGGACTGTCGAAAGCAACTTTGGGAATGCAGGAATCGTGGGAGTGCTGCTCAGGTGTCTCTTTTCCTAGAATGAGAGAGAACGTCGATCAGAAGGTATTTTGAAGCATTTCTGTGTGTGAAAAAAGGGTAAAGGTGGGGCCTGTGGGCCAAGGAGGTGGTGGGAAATGGTAGTTACCAGTCTACCCCCACAGTTGTAGGGGGAGCAGTTACATGTGGTAGGGGTCCTGGAGACATAGGCTAACGATTAAGATAACACAGAGGCCAGTATTTCCTTCAGCTTCACCTGCCAGCATTCTCGGCCCGTCTTTGCTTTCAGACCTTGCTGGGACCGCACATCATGATTCATTCACAAACAGTCTCCTGTCTCTGAGCCTCAAAGTCTCACGGTTCTTTTCACTTTCATCTTTGAATCTCAGTTTCCTCCTTTGCACGGTGGGAATCGTACCACGATATCATGATGTCGTGAGGCTGAACTGTGGTCCCCGCTGTTAAGTGCTTAGCGCGCAGGTGACGCTCAAGGAATCAGTACCCTAGTCCTGAATGCACATGTGGGAGCAGATGTTTATGGTACTTGCTTTAGCTCTTCTCCCAGCAGCTGCCCACGCACCTCCATCCAAGCTCTGTAGACGGTGCCACATTTCATTAAACTTTTATGTTTCCTTTCATAGGGCCAGCAAGTTGCCTCTGGAGTGACTCAAGCATCCTCTTAGAAATCACCCCTCTTTAATCCTGCTGTGAAGCTAGAGGCATCCCAGGAGCCCAGGCTTTGCTTAACCTCAGCCACCTTCTGTTCGGATGGACTGGGATGGCTCAGCAGCCAGCACCTGGAAGGACTTTCTAGGGCGTGTGCACTATGCAGGCCAGAGGGTGCCTGTCCACAGGCAGTGCCAGAGGTCTCCACTCTATGCTTTTCCAGGTCAACCACTTGTGTTCTGTGTGGGGAGTAATTCACTGACATTCAGGTGAAGGCATTTGAGAAACTGAGAGGTGGGGAAGTGTGCTGACGAAAAATGCACTATTGTAAAATGTTTTCAAAGAGCACTAAGCTGCCTTGTCACTTAGCATTACAAGGCATATACCCAAAGAGTTTTTCCTCTTCCTGGGTTAGGAATCGTAATGTACCGTAATTTCTTGGTGTGAAATATTATACCTCAAACTCCCATTTTCCTGAACGTTTGTCGCTGCCCCTTATTTATACGGGTAATAGAAAAAGGATGGATACTGTGGCAAGGTTTTGGAAATGGAGTATGGGCCTTGTTACACCGATTCCCCCTCACATGCAGACAGTAGTGTGATTGGCACAGCAACAGTCACTTTGAGAGGCGTGTCAGTCACCGGGACAGACTGATGACTCGGTGGTTATGATGGTGGTCATGATGCAAGTCGGAAAAGAGCTGCCCCTCCACAGACAGAGAGCTTCACAGAGCCAAGGTCCGTGCTCACTTCTTTTCTGTGACTTCTTACCTAGTCCCCCCAAGCCCTGAAAACTTAAGTACTACTGCTGTCTACGTTTTGCAGAACTGTTGATGCTAGAGAGATGGGTCATTACCTTGTCAAAGCAATAGCCGAAAATTCGGGACCCGGGCAACTCAAATGGGAGTTCAGCTGGCGCTTTCCCGGTGGCGTTACTCCCTAAGCTGTGAGCACCTTCTTAGGGAATGTTTTCATGTCTGACGTGGTTACCCAGATCTCTGTGTCTTCGTTTCTTTCCCATATGCTTATGTACACGATACAGATTTGTATGCGAAGTGGTGGACATACCTGGTACGGAAATAGGCCTAGACGTAAATGGCTTTCAAGACTCATTTGCCAGGCACTTTGATTTTAGGCTGCTTTAAAGAAAAGTATAGAGTTTAGAGTGTCAGAAAGGGACAGGGACTTCCCTGATGAGAAAAGATAGGATGACGGCCTTGAGATGGCCATCCCGTCAGGGGCCTAACACCCAGAGGAGGGGAGAGGCCTATGAAGAATGGCTCTCTGTTGGATGCTCTCAGAGAATGAGCATGGGATAGAAAAGACAGCCCTGAAAGGCAAGGGGGTCATTGCCTGGCTCAGGTGTCTCCTGCTCACTGCCACAGCTCGTGTCAGCCCTGACTGAATAGGGAAATTCTACTTGGCCATACCTGTCTCCTGCTCATTGCCACATCCCTGATACTAGCCGGGTTAGACATAACTGGGGGAGAGAAGACCACGGCTCACGTCTTTGAGTGTGATTTGAGACCACAGGGCCCTCAGGCAAAGATGAGGGTGTTGATGGGCAGTTGCATTGCCTCGGAGGCTCTCAGCCTACCCTCAAGGAAAAGTTGTGGTTCTAGGCGTCAACTGCACATGGTTTAGGACTATGGGAAAAGCAGCTGTGGGAAAAGCAGCTGTGGGAGATGCAGCTGTACAGGGCTTTTTGAGGGGGGAGCAGTACAGTGGATTCCCCATGACTCTCCACCGTCAGAAATGCAGCGGACGCATGGTGGACCCCAGGAGATTTGGGGGCACACTGAGGGCATCAGGAAACAGGAAGGGCAGGAAAGGGGACCGCTGTCAGTGTTGTGATGGGCATTGCGGGTTCAGGCTGTGTGTACTGTTCCCAGTCCCCACTCTCCCCGGCTACCTGTTGGCTGGCACAGCTGGGCGGAGTGTTAGCAAGGCCCGTGGATTTATATAACATGAGAAACAGGCCTTTTGGGAACTTCAGACCTTTATGGGGTGGGCAGATCCTCATTTTCTGTCTGTCCGTGCAGGATGGGCTTTCTCTGCAGGCGACGCTTTGCTGCATCTTCCTGCTTCCGTGTACTGTTTTGTATTGCTTGTCATGCTGTATGTTGCTCAAAGGCAAATAATGTGAGGGATTTGAGGAAAGCCGGGCTTGCTTCTGTTGACAGTGTGCGTCATGAGCCAAAGCATTTTTCAGATTTTTGATATTCATGTCCCTTTTCCGGCTCGCGTGGCCCTGGCTTTGATGGAAATTTCTCTTTCCGGTGCTCATCAGGTTCAGGCTGAGATTATGGTTGTGGCTGTTCAGTCGGGAGACAAACCCTTCCTGTCACTAGCGGTTTCATCTACGCTGCTTGTGAACCACAGGACCTCAGAGATCCTTGGTGGAGATGGGGACTGAGACCCCCCGTTATGGACCTTTAGTGTGTCCATCTTTCCAACAGAGGGTGAAAAGCCTGTGCAGGCTGTGTGCACGCGCGTGCAATGGAACAGCCTTCTGTAGATGGGCCTGGATTTGAATTTGGCTTCTCATTCCACTAGACTGTGTGCGAACTCAGCATGGAGATGACTGTCTGCTTCAAATGAGGGCCTCCCAGTTCACATTTAGGTGGGGCTGCCGGGCTTCCCTGGCCTCCTGTTCTCGCAGACCTACTCTACCGCTTCTTCGCCAGTTGGCAAAAGAGCATGGGTGGGCACGTTTAAATTGAACCCTACGTGGATGCACTGCTCTCGGTCACCCTCAGTCAGATCAAGTAGCCGTGCAGAATGGCGCAAGGCCTTGATGGACTGCTGTCTGCTGTGAGTGTGGAGAGTACAGGCTGTTCAGTTGGGGTGCTGACCCTCAAGGTGCGCAATATGCCTCCTACCAGGAGCCAGCCACTTGGCTCTTCCTCCTGTGTCCTGAACCGATGTCTCAGACCATGGGGTTAGAGTGAGCCTAGAACCTCCAGTGATTGTGGGTGTGTGGTCCTCTCACATGCTCTTTTATTAAGGGGGCACTGGTGGGATCCCTTCTTCTGGGGGGATGGGTAATGCCATTTACAGCTTCACTACCTGTGCTTTCTGATTCTTCTCTTGGTATGCAATACTTTGTGTTCAAGATGTTAAAGGCTAACCCATAATCCAAATGTTTCTGAATCTCAAAGTATTGCAGCTGTTCTACAGGGGCCATGAACTTCACCTGGAAGATGGCACTTGAGGAGCGGCCCCAGGGCTTAGCTATATGTTGACAGAAGGGATTGGCCTCTGGGGTCTGTGGTTTGGGCATTTGTTTGGATGTGGGGGTGCTTTCTTGGTCCACAGGATGGGTTCTTGTGACATTTTAGACAAACAAGGTCTTTGAAATGGAATATGTACCTTTTCATATCTTTGTTGTAGGTACCTGTGTGTACCACGTCCCATCCTTTTATCCGCTGGTTGTTACCTGGGTTGTTTCCACAGCCTGGCTATTGAAAAGAACGATAGTGCTGTTTTTCATATTTTGAGAAGGCCCCGGCTCTTTCCCTTAGTGGCTGTACCAGTGTACAGAGGAGAACACATCGTGAACTGAAAAATGGATTCATGACTGGTTCTCTCCCCACTTTTGATTGTCGGTTCTTTTCAGGAGAAGCACTGTAGATGGGAGAGTCTCCAAAGGGGAGGGCCTTGATATGGCCATCCCTTCCGGGGCTAACACTCAGAGGTGGGGAGAGGCCTAGGAAGAATGGCTCTCTGCTGTATGGTCTCGGAGCAGGAGCGTCGGATAGGCTAAGCCGGCCCTGAAGGTGACGGGGGTAATTCTCTGTGCCAGGTGTCTCCTGCTCACTGCACACTCCTGTCAGCCCCGACGGAAATGGGGAAATTCTGTTTCCTAGGAGTGACTCCTGCTCATTGCCACATCCCTGGAACACCTGGGGTTGGCATCAATGAGGGACGGAAGACCACGGCTCACATCTTGGAGTATGACGTGAGAACGTGGCGCCCTCTTCAAAGTGGAGAGTCCTGATGGGTGATGTTCCTTGCTTTACAGCAGCTTTGGGAGTTCTGGCTATGGTGTTGGGAGTCTTTGTTCTTTTTGCCTCCTGCGGTGTACTGCCTTCCCCCATGAGCCATGTAGTGTTTTCTCTGAGGGGATTCATCACGAGTCTCCTCGAAGGCATCTGCTCTGTTTCTGGGTGGTTTAACCGCCCACCCTTGCATAGTGGTAGCGGGCTGTGTCTCACAGAGTCACAGAGGAATGTGAGCTGAGTTTGCTGAAAACTCTTTCCACATACTGCATCTGTGCAGTATGTGCACAGACACTCCTTCTTGAACACTCCCAAGTCACAAGTGTCTGATGACAAATTCCTAGAGGAAGCACACGCTGAACTTGGCAGCCTCTAGGGTTTGAGGACCTTGGGGTTTGGGGAGAAAATTGGCCCAGGCCTGTTGCCGGGCGTGTGTGCTCTGACTCGAATGTCCCAGCAGTGTGACGTCTTGTTCACAGAGCGGAGGCATGTAGCAATCATCAGAAATCCAGAAGTCTGGCAGGGAATACAGTTGGAGCATTTGCCGATTTGCTGTCAGCACGCACCTGCTGCCCTTCCTCTGCACCTTGGTGGGTAGAAAAACGTGTGGGCCTTGTTTGGGACATTGCTAGTCACTGGCCCTGCTTGCATCTTCAGGAGCATGTGCAGATGGGCCTGATTATCAGGAACTTCCCTGGTCAAGCCACCAGGCAGCAGGATGAGCCTCCTAGTCCTCTTGCTGGAGAGGACTAGCCTCTCCTCACAGTCTCTAGCTTTCCCTTCTCCCTTTTGTCAGCCAGAAGTTATGGATGCTTTGTCCCAACCAATCCCCAAATCACAGCGCTCACAGGGCAAGTGCATTCTTCTCAAGAATGGACAAAGCCTTGGGGCCCCTAAGTGGCTCTAGTTGCTGGAAGTCCTTGACCACAAGGTGTGGATGCTTGGTGTTCCAGCTCTTCTGTGATTCTTTCTTGGCATTGGGCAGTTGCATTGCCTCAATGGCTCTCAGCCTACCCTCAAGGAAAAGTCGTTGTGCTAGGCGCCAACTGCACATGGCTAGGACTATGGGAAATGCAGCTGTGGGAGACCCAGCAGTGGGAGATGCAGCAGTAGAGGGTTGTTTGAGGGGGGAGCAGTGACGTAGCTCCCCATTACTACCACTAGTCAGAAATGCAGTGGACTCATTGTGAACCCCCGAAGATAGGGGGGCACTCTGAGGGCATCAGGAAACAGGAAGGGCAGGAAAGAGGACCGCTGTCAGTGTTGTGATGGGCATTGTGGGTTCAGGCTGTGTGTACTGTTCCCAGTCCCCACTCTCCCCGGCTACCTGTTGGCCGGCACAGCAGGGCGCAGAGTTAGCAAGGCCCGTGGATGTATAAGACATGAGAAACAGGCCCTTTGCGAACTTCAGACCTTTATGGGGTGGGCAGATCCTCATTTTCTGTCTGTCCGTGCAGGATGGGCTTTCTCTGC